GACTAAATTTGTATCTTTTTCATCAATATGGACACGATAAAAACACCATTAATTATGGAATACGAGTTCCGTCTCGATAGCAATGCCGCAGAAACGACTCACAACAGTCATGACGTGTACGGAGTAAACAGTACAAACAAACGCACAACTCATTTATTGGTTTGAACTCTTTTTACATGGAAATTTTAAACTAAAAAATGAGCCCTGTTATCGCCCGAAAACTAAACAACTCAACAACGACGAAATAAAAGCGATACTGCAAGCTGATGATACTCATTCTATCGCTGAGTTAGCAGTAGCTTTCAACATTAGCATGAAAACAATATTGACACATTTGGGTTTAATTTATTGCCCTAGTAGGTAGACGAGCGTACGGCCCACCTGATCGTGAGTGGTTACCGTCGTCCATGGACTTCTGCAATGCCAGGGGCAGACACAAGTCGCTGACTTCCGTTAGCTGCCTTCAGCTGCCTCAACTTAGCATAGTAAAAAAACCCGATTACTTGAAAAATTGTCTGTTGTGCCGTATGAGTTCCAGTGTTGTCGTGTAGAAGCAGCAAGGACGAGCGATTAAGGCTGGTCAGAGATTCACGAGCCTCTCCCGCACTGTCTCCTGTTCCTCACTGTACGCATCCGCAGTTGTGCTGGTGCTATTTAGTAAGAAGCTGTAATGTATTATACCGGCACTAGACCACCAAACAGTGGCCATGATATTTTTAGGGGTAACTTTTCGTTTGGGAATTGCCTTGCTGAACCAAGATCTAAATAACACGATGACCGCTTGAACGATACTGGTAATTTCTATTTATTCATTTTTGGATTCCATTTTTTTTTTGTGTGCTGAATAAGCAAAAGACTTTCACGGCCGTCGTCTTTAAGCTGTCACCGGAGCGGCTAATTCTCAACGCATGAGGTCGAAGTTTCAATTGCATTGTTTAAAATAAAAGTAAAACACCAGTTACCTAAAACAAAATATCATCACGCGCAATCTTTGTTTTCATGTTCAAGGTTTTCAAACAAAGCTAAGTTTATAAAACCTTTTTACATTTGGTCCTTATGTCTGCTTATTATATTCCACAATACAATCTACAAATATACAAACTTTCAAATACGAGTATTTGCTTATACAAACAAGAAAGTTAGCGAACAATATAAAAGTAATGGGGAGAGTGAAACAGCAGTAAGAGCCTTAACAAGTGCGAGCGAGAAGAGACTATTCAAATTGAGGGTACATATTTCTACATAGGTAACAAATAGCTTGTCGAGATTAGTATGGATGTACCTAGGAGGCAATTTTTAAAGTTCGTAGCGATTTATGATGTGCGCGTTAAATTTTATAAATACAAATTAAAAGACAGCCTGTATTGATAATTCTGTTTAAAATGCATTAATATTTTCTATAACAATTTGTAGTTTATGTTGAACCCCCTTTTTACTGGTGATAGGGTGTATGGTAAGCCCGCACGGGTATGTACCAACTTCCTGTCTATATCTGCAGCGAAGTAGTGATTTGTTCTCGTTTGAATGGTGGGACAGTCGTTATAAGTAAAATAAGTTGACCTCATGTCTCGGGATAGGTACATTATGTTGTCTACGGTTATGGTACCTAATGGCTTTACACCAGGTGGGACGTGAGCACGATCATCCGTGTGTGCACTGAAAACAAAAATTAAAGTGAAACTTCAATTGTGTAATGATGAATATATGAAAACATTAAAATGCGTCCCCGAAAAATGGTAATTCCACATTATGGTTATTGAACAAAAAGAAAAGTTGACGAGAGTTGTAGGAGCAACTTTAAGAACGGGTACCTATTTAAACTGTTTGTATATTCACATTCTTAGGATACTTTTTTTTTTTAAATTTTAATTGTTTTTGTTTGTCAAACAAAATTAATATACGGGACACGAATAAATTATTCGAAATTCTATTTTCATAAGTCATCGATACAGTAATGGAAGCTTCGAGTGACTCATTTTTCGGTATTTTTTTGCCTTTCTGCGGAACGCTATTAAATTTAAGCCCAAAAGATTAACAGGGTCCTAATTGTGAACCATAGAAATGAATCGATCAGGAATAAGAATTGTTTTCCTGAATTTTATATATTTTACTAGATGACAAGCTACCTTTCCATTATGGTAATTTCCACAAAACGATCCTAAAGTTGAACTAAAACATTAATTCCAATATAAAACAATACACGCTATAGTACAATGACCCTTAATTTACTCATAGACTATCAAACTAGTGTCCTTGTTAAGGGCAGATCGTATCAGAGTTTTCCTCTGTATCGTAATAAAGTTATGAATTACAAAATTTTGTAAAAACAATTTGCAAACGCTTTCGAATAACCTCCTTGACAAACGGCCAGATTCGATGGCCCGTTACTGAAGACTGCGTGGACTGTCAGATCTTGTTCTTACGCATTTTAACTGATTTGGAATCGAGGACCTGAAAAGCCTAAGTGATTTCCTCTTTATTGGTCTAGATGGGCAAGTGAGTGCTCATTAACCATATCAAATTATCGACCTAAAAACTCTTAAATTATTACTGCTTCGCGGCATATGGGTATAGGCAGGATAGTTCACGATACATTCCAATTGTGAACCGATAGTGATCCTTATTGATACCTATTTTATATGGGTATTAAGTTTTAATGACAGCTTTTGATTTCGTCCGATCATTGTTTACTCATATTTATTGAGAAAATTATAGGTGCAATCATTTGACATTTTGAATTACAAGTATTTACTTACCACATAGCGAAATGTAAAATTTACAGCGTTTGAAAGTTTAAGATTTGTAGTTATTTATATTTCCTTTACTTTACTTATTTTAGAATAAAGTATATTTATAGTGTAGATAAGAGATATTATGCGTTTTAATTTATTTTAAAGTTACGGTTTATTGCGAGAAATGTCTTCGGAGTAGTTTTTTTTTTGAGATTTTACTTTTTATTAATCATTAGTTTTATAAACTGTTTTCATTATCGGGTACGTTACTAATATACCTTATAACACAGTAGCACCGTAGCACCGTAGCACAATATCTAATATGTATGTAATGCATAGTCTGGACATAAATACTGCTATGAAAATTAAAAATAACCAAAAAAAATCTACTTTTAACCTGAAATGAATACTAAATAAATAATTTTTATTGTATTTTTGTACTGGACTATGGACAGGTAAAGTAACGTGTTCGGTTGTGATAAAAAAAGATCTAGCCAACTAGGTAAGTAGGATTCGCACTAAAAAGGCAACGGAGCAATGAAAGAAAAAATCCGAAGAAATCGTCTATGAAGCTGGTCATTTGAGCGTGTTCTGGACATATTACTTAGGGAAATAAATATTATGAAGGGACCCTTAACAATGTTGTGTATATGTTTTTACTGGTGGTAGGACCTCTTGTGAGTCCGCGCGGGTAGGTACCACCGCCCTGCCTATTTCTGCCGTGAAGCAGTAATGCGTTTCGGTTTGAAGGGTTGGGCAGCCGTTGTAACTATACTGAGATCATAGAACTTATATCAAATCTAACTTATATCAGGTAAAATCAAAACAACTTAGACAGCAGACAGGAACGTCACAGAAAAGAAATACCGACGTGAAATGTTTTTTTTTACATTTCAATAATTGGAACGATCGAGTTTATGCTTTAAGTATTAATGAGCATGAGAGAAGATTTAAAATAAGTTAGTAGGGTGCAACGTGGGGATTATCTGGTTTCATTGATGTTTTGGTAGGGTGGTAGCTATCAAGGATTGATTGCGTTATATTTATCTGAAAAACATCAAAATATTCATCCGTTCTGGGTGTGCCTCTCAACAACAACATGTTCTATAATCAAGAATGAACCTTTTGGCAAGATGTGAAGTTTGTCATTTTGACCACTGTTGCCATTTCTTCTAAGCGTGATCGTCTTCTTATTAACTGCATTCGATTTTTTATTAATCTTGGTACATATTACTACTATCGAACTCAGCTGACGACTGACGACTCCTCACCTTTTACTTGTGATTACCCACCTTAATTTCTGTATATGTAAATTCCTACTTTCGATAACTTCACTTCAGCCACGAGTGGGCCTTTCGTTCCCTTAATAACCCACTAATCGTTGTCCCACACACAGTTCTAGGTTTGTTCGTAAATATTTTTCATATAGTTTGCTATGGAATGCGCATCCTCTCGAGATTAGGGTCATTCGGTGCGTGTTCAAGTTAAGGGCTGGGCGAATACTGTTAGAAAAATTAGCGGAATTATCTCGAATAGATCTATAATTTTTAATCAGTGTAGATTTTTTAAGCGTATTTTTATTGTTTTTTTTTCTTAAAATTATATCTTTAAGTGTATGTCTTGTATTCGTTCTGTATGTATATACCTACATGAATTTTGTGCATACGTACACACGTGTTTTGTCTTCAATTTGTTCCTTCCACATATTTTGAAATAGTTCACTTCCGTTTTGAATTGAAGGAATTGACAATGTTTCAAGGCTCTTGTTATTATATTAATTATGAGCTCAACACTTAACACTATGTTATCGTATGGTAAAGATCATAATTTTTTATTGATTCTAAAGCCGTATAATATAATTATGTAAAATATACATTTAGAATTTGAAAATGCATCTAGCGACATCTTTCGTCAGATACTCTTAGCACTGTGTTTATATACAAAATGGAGTGTGAAAGTAGTACTTACAACTGATGGTAGATGGCGTTACCACTGTACTTAAAAGATTTATCAATAAAAAACTTCTGTTGAAATTACTAGTCAATAGACTTATATTATAAAATATAAAACATAATTATCTTACTTTTAATTACAAAATGAGTCTTACACATGTAGGAGTTAATTTTCGGTTACTGGCCGCTTGGACGCCTAATTAGAAACAAAAAGCATCGTTCTTTTTTTGAAATTAGAAAATAGCATTTCTTTCCTGGCTTTCTCTATTATTTTAGCGGCAATTCAAAATTTAATCTGAATTTTATTTTGTTCAAAATGGGCAACAATAAAAGTTGTGACGGGTCAACTAGGCAAACTAGGCAAATAATTGTTAATATACATAGAGATTATAAATGGGCGTACATAAGAATGGCTGAGAATTTAAATTGTTCTGTTAAGAAAGTTTTTAGTGCAATTGATCATTATAAAACACATGGAACTGTTGAAAATGTTCTTAGAAAGGCTCGGCCAAGAAAAACCTCTCCCAGAGAAGATTCGCTAATCGTTCGTGTTGCTAAAAAAGACCCAATTAAAGTCTTCAACCAGACTAAAAATGAAGTTTTTTCGCCTGATGACCCGAGAAACATCTCGTCAAGAATTATAAGCCAAAGATTAGTGGAAGCTAAATTTTTTGAAAGAACCTCTCGAAATGTAACCCTTCTTAACAAGCAACACCGACAGAAGCGATTATTATTCGTTACAAAATATGATTGGACAGTACGAGAATGGAAAAAGTGTTATCTTCAGATGAAACAAAAATAAATATGGTAAATTCCGATGGAAAGCGCTATGTTAGACGACCTATAAATAATGCTTTTAATTATTAATACACAAGGAGTATAATAGTCAAGCACGGTGGCGGTAACATTAAAATTTGGGGGTGTTTTTCCGGATGTGGTGTTGGACTCGTTCGGAAGATTGAATGCACAATGGATCCATGGCAATAGAAAAATATCTTAGAGCACACAATGATACCTTACTCTGACGATTATTTGCCTGTAACCTAAATCTTTCAGCATGACAATGACCCTAAACACGGCTAATAGCAACAAGCTTTTCCTTAGCGAACAGCGTATATACGTTTTAGACTGGCCAGCAAATAGTCCGGATTTAAGTTCAATAGAAAATCTCTGGCATATTGTTAAAAAGAAAGTCTCAAACAAACGTAACACCAGTCAAAACGAACTATATGAAGCATTTATTGGATCGTGGAATTCAATCCCCCTAGGAAAATGAATGAAATTGATTGAGTCAATGCCACGTCGTTAGAGTACTGTTACTGAAAATACGGGATATGTCACTAAATATTAATTATAACTATTTGGTATATTTCTTTCGTATGTTATAGCCGTAAGTAGACTGACTTTTCGCTACGATTATATTGATCTTATATGAAATTGAAAGATAAATGTACATATTGAGACTAGGAAAATTTTGAGTGAAATTTAAATGATTACGGTGCCTTTTTAGAGCGTGAAGATAGGCAATAGAGCTAGTTACTTTCATTTCAATCAAAGTAAGTTTTTGCAGTAAATGTTGATTTAAAACAAAAGATAACACTTAGACAATTATTTAAAACTTGTAAAAACGTCACGCATTGATATGGATGTTGTCGGTTGTATGAAAAACATAGACTTCTTGAAGCTACTTGCGCGTCATCTACCTATCTTAAATTTATGCTATGACAATAACTGTACCAAGTTTTATTCTTTATTCATTCATTCTTTATTCTTTATTGTACTTTATTGTATTTAATAATATACAATAATTGCGAAAACTTATAAAATGGCGAGCTTAACTCAACAATTGAGTTATCTACCAGCTAACCGTTCTTAAAGAGGGAGAGCTTTACATAAGTGGATGGTGGTAGTGGTGGTTTATGCGAATGTAGTTTTATATTTGCTTATGTAGATGTGAAAGTATAGATTAAAGGGGCTGAAAGATATTGTTTTTGGGATGGAAGGGTGTATTGTGGCCCGAACACTTTCTCGCTTCGCCATGACGATTGCGGAATTACGGAATTAACTAGGAGGGGTCGGATTTGTTAACAGCTGCTCGGGCGCCTCCGAAGGTGACTTCTAAGACGATCCAGCCAGAAACTGAGTGAAGTGGTGTTATGGGCTAGGTTTCACCTACGATTTGACGGATTCTACGAATACGATGACTTATAATACCTCAAAGCGTAATAACATTGAGAGTGGATCGGATCGAAGGAAAGACAATCTTGGTATACTTGTTTAATAAATAGGCCATGTGCTCCCTCTAATACCGTTTTGTTGAATCACCATGCGTTTCAGATATCATTTACCTTACTGGATTTTGTATCATCAACTGTCTTAGCGGTACGTGAACGCAATTATTATAATTTTTATGCCGGTAAGAGTAACGCCATCTATCGCCAAATACCCGAACGAATATCTAAGGATCTAGTAATATCTAGAACGCTCGAGAAGTACAACGCCATCTATTTTCAGATAGTAGAAACACACATCGAAAATACTCAACTTGTGAGGACTATTCTCGACGGTTCTAGGGATATCGTATCGACTATAAAAGCGTTGTATGGCACGCAGTCAGTTAGTAATCGGAACTACTCGAAGCGAAACAGCGAACGGATCACCTGAAGCGAAGTGGAAGAAGCGAATTGAGAATTTTAAAGTGTTTGTGAAGTGTTCTAAGTGCTAATACAGTGTTAACTTATAATTCGGTACAATGTTTACCAGGTGGCGTTCACGTTGTTTTCGGTATCTGCTTGTGCTTATCACTATAGGTGAGCCTTGAGCTCGTTTACGAATATTGAATCCAAAAAAATGTATGGCGATCTCGTGGTATGTGGAAAACATACCTAAGCATTTTATTCATTCTATATAGGCGCGTCGACGCGAGTCAAGCACCAACTGTTTAGGTATCTGTTATTCTATGTACGCATTCACGGACGATTCTTAACGATGAGCGAATGTCTTGTAGGGAAAATTAAGCCCTCAACGTATGTACCTGTATATATAGGTTTTAATGTGGGTCACTCGCCGAGACTGCTGTTGGATGGCTCTCCGCGTCGCCAGAGAGCATCGACCCCACGCGTCAACTGATCTTAATTTTATAAATACGTGTAACGGGCCAATACTAATATTGATTCTACTATTATTTTTAGATCGTTCATGTATATCTATGCAAATAATGAGTATTAAACAAAGTGTGTGTTAAAATATACTATATTTAAAAGGAAACTAACATTTTGAAGTTTTTAGTATTTTGCATGTAAGCTTAAATGGTAATAGGGTTTAAATTTTGAAATTGTGGTTCTATTGTAACTAGAGGTCCCGCAGTAGTCGAAATTCGACTTTAATTAATTGGAATTGTAAGTTTGTACACTATTATGATTGTATTTTATACTTCTATAATCACAAATTTCGCCAAGACTATACTATAAAAAATATTAACAAAGGCAAGCAATATTTCATCTATTCTCAATTTGACAACAGACGCCAAGAACAAAAGTTTGACAATAAATTGTATGCATGCGTGTGTGCGTCAAATACATAGTATGTAGTGTCTGTAATGTTTTCTTTATTGATTTAATGTATCATTTATGCATTATTTAAAAAAAAAATAGCATTATGCACTTCTTCTCTATATTCTCTATAAGTGTGGAAAAGAAACAGCTCGCAATATCAATGTTGCGTTTGGAGAAGGGACTGCTAAAGAACGCACCATGCGATTTTGGTTTAAACGCTTTCGTGATGGAAATTTTGATGTGAAGAACGAACCACGTGAAAAACAGCCCACACATGTGAATAACAATAATTTGAAAGAGACGGTGGAATCCGATCCGAGCCAAGCTACCCAAGAATTAGCGGCATGGTTTAACGAATATGAAGTCGTCGTGGCCTTAAGTATAAGACGTCCGGTGCATTCGTGTTGAAGCGATGCACCGGTGGTCGAATCCCAGGTGGGTACCAATTTTTCTAATGAAATACGTACTCAACAAATGTTCACGATTGACTTCCGCGGTGAAGGAATAACATCGTGTAATAAAAATCAAACCCGCATAATTATAATTTGCGTAATTACTGGTGGTAGGACCACTTATGAGTCCGCGCGGGTAGCTACCACCACCCCGCCTATTTCTGCCGTAAAGCAGTAATGCATTTGGGTTTGGAGGGTGAGGCAGCCGTTGTAACTATACTAAGACCTTAGAACTTATATCTCAAGGTGGGTGGTGCATTTACGTTGTAGATGTCTATGGGCTCCAGTAACCACTTAACACCAGGTGGGCTGCGAGCTCATTCACCTATCCAAGCAATATCTTATCAATTGACTCAATTGCATCAATTCAATAAAATAAAATAAAATGGCTGCCTCTTGATTTGACTGATCTGCAGCAAGAAACGCGTGTTGAAACTGGTGTTGCTTTGTTGAATCGATACAGAAATGAAGGAACATTGGATCGAATTGTGACATGTGATGAAAAGTGGATTCTTTACGATAACCGTAAGTGAAAAGTGCAATGGCTGACCCCAGGTCAAATGCCGCAACAGTGCCCTAAAGCAAAACTTGCAGTGAAACAGCCCCGACTCATGAATCGATCTTCACCATTATTGCTCCATGATAAGGCGAGATCTCATACAGAACGAGTAACCGTTTTAAGTTTACAGGAACTGCAATTAGAAACCATTCGTCACCCTCCGTATTCGTCAGACCTTGCTCCAACGGACTGCCATTTTTTTCGTGGTTTGGACAATTTTCTACGTGATAAAAAGCTTTCTACCCAGGAGGCAGTACAAAATGCTTTTACACAGTTTGTAGAATCTAGATCACCAGAGTTCTATTGCAAAAGCATAAATGACATTCCTATTGGCAGCAACGATAGATAATAATGGTAGATATATTGATTATATAAATATTATATGTTAAAAGAAAAAGAAAAAAGAAATTCAATTTTTTAGTAAAAATCGCCAATTTCATACTTTAATCCACAATGTTATTATTAGATTAGGTAGAACATAATAGAATTACTACAATTATTTGAATTACTTTGCGAAAGGAATATACATTTTCACTTGGTCGTACTGTAATTGTTTGTATTCAATAATTATTATTATTAAGGAGAGGAATTTTAGAATGTAAATGGTTTACGCATAGGGAATAATTTATGTTTTTTAGCAGGATTAATGGAAGGGTTTTAAGCATGTGGGAGTGAGTGTGTTGTTTAAAGTATAAAAAAAATAACGTTTCATTTGAAATATTTTATTGTAAAAGTTTGTTTCCACAATTAAATGGTTATCTAAATGGTGGCATTTGTAAATTATAGAAACAATATTTATTTCAGTGTCCAATTTTTAGGAGTAGAAACCTAAACGCTTTGTCAATAATAATCTGACATTTATTCCCTATTGCTACTTGAAATAAATAAAAATGAAATATTCCTAAATTTTCAANCGTTTCATTTGAAATATTTTATTGTAAAAGTTTGTTTCCACAATTAAATGGTTATCTAAATGGTGGCATTTGTAAATTATAGAAACAATATTTATTTCAGTGTCCAATTTTTAGGAGTAGAAACCTAAACGCTTTGTCAATAATAATCTGACATTTATTCCCTATTGCTACTTGAAATAAATAAAAATGAAATATTCCTAAATTTTCAAATTAATAGAACACAGAAGAAGGTCTGTACGAATTAATGCGGCCACTTCTATTAGATTCTCACTATTAGAACAGCAAACACAAAAGCTATAAACTTTCGTACACATCTCGATCTGCATATATTTATAGATTAAAACTACCAGCACTTTATTATCAAAAGTTACAAAAAGATCTTACTCAAGTTCAATTGTATATTTTTATCTAAAAATGATTGAAAATTTGGCCACTGTCAGAGTGCTAGCAAATTTCTCTCACGGATTAAAGAAAACAAGAATAGTCACTTTCTTTAAATCGTGAAAGTTGTGGAAAAGTTCCGGCCAAAGCCAAAAGCGTCGACTGGAGCTTTTCAATTTGAATGCAAACGGCCTTTTAATACTAACATTACAATAGTCACTGGTCTCAAAACATGGCTTAAGTACTATACACCTAAAATATATAAATTATTACAAATTAAGTAAGGCATTTACAACATCAGGGATCCTTATTATTACTTTATATTTACGCGATACTAGATTTACGTTTGTAACATCGTGTAAAAACAAAGAGAAATGACTAATCTTAAATCGGTAAAACAAATTAATTTACTTGTAATAAAAATGGTCAAGATTCCGGCGATCTTTCTGACCTGCGAAGCTTAATTGACTCAGTATATTCCATGGAGTTTAAATTTAAGCTTCGTTTTGGTCGAACTACGCGTTAATTGAAATTTATTGTCTAAATTCAATTTTGAAATTGTAAAATGCATAGTTACGATTCAACTTAGCACTATCGTTTGGCACTGACTTCTGCTAAAAAGATAAATAATAATTTAATAAATTAACCTTAAATGAAGACTCAAATATTCGTATCAATTTCGGTTATCGAAATTATAAAATATTTTTAATCACAGTCATGATTGATCATATATAGAGTGCCATGTCACCTGAAAGTGTCACTGTTTATTTTTAACTCATTAATACTTATGACACGAAACCTTAAACTACTCCATCGGGATAAATGTATTGAGCATTATTCACGTGCATAGAAGAGTAGACGCATTTTTTTTCTCACAAAGGTTTATTACCCTTGTGAAGGCTCTTTCGAGACAATTGGTAAAACGTCGAAAAATGTTCATCTTCGTCGTTTAGCTGAAACAGCTGCCGCTATCATTTGTCTTAGCATCGGCTCTGGAGTGCACGCTTTTGGATCGCATTTCATTTGACCGTCTCCGCCGCATCTGAAAAATGTATTAGATCGATTTGAACCTCCCATCTTTCATAACCTTAATATAATATAAATTTTATATTACTATATTTTGATCATGCTTGAGTAAATAATGAACTTACGTGCAGTGTAAACATGGGCCTGATGATGCTCGTACTACTTCTCCTACTTTATATGTGTGTCCTTTTATTTGACATCCTCTTCTTTGAGCTGCGCCCTTATATGGGTGGGTAGGGAAATGAGGAGGTAATGTGGTTGTTGTTGTTGTAGTCGTGGTGGTTACATTGAGTGTAGTCGCCATCGATACAGGACACTCGTATCGGGGGCAGCAAAAACCTTGTATAGGTTCTTCGTGACATCCATGTATGGGTGGAGGACAGCTTTGTTGTAAGCAAATAATATCACTACGGAAGCAGAAGCAAAAATCACAGGGATCATCTCTAGGAATTTGTTGGGCTGATACATATACTTTGCCGCCGTAGCGACAAGTGCCAGGTCCGAATGCTTGGTCTTCTTCAACATAGTCTGGCTCTCCGCCATAACCGCTCGAGGCACTTGGAGGGAAATTACTTTCTTCTGGACCTGCGATTTCGTCAATAGGTGTTTCGCTGGTTATCGGTTTAGGCAGTTCAGTGGAAGGTGATTCACTGGGCTTAGTGTCAGGTTTTGTGAACTTCTCAAGAGCTTGTTCAGAAATGTCTGCGGTCTTCGTAGTTGAAGTTGGTATTAGATCTTGTTCATGAACAGCGTCTAAGGGTTTGCTCGATGTTGAAGTGATTTTTTCTGGAGATTCCGTTGGTTCTTGTACAGTAGGAGTTGTTTCTTTTTTATAGATAAGTTCTGTCGTGGAAACACTACTTTGATCAAAATCTATGGTAGCTGTTGGCGTTTTATGACTATCGTCTACTGCACTTGATATTTCTGAAATCGAGGAAAGAGTCGTACTTTCTGGAATTTTGTACTGTGTCGATGTTTCCTCTGAATCCTTAGAAGAGTCCATTTCTGTAGGATGTTGTTCTTTGCTAGCCTCCTCATCCACCTTTTCTGGCGTTTTAGTTTCTTCATCAGTTTTTTCAGAAGCAGAAGTTGTTTCTTGTGTAGTGGAATAAATGGTGGACAATTCTGATTTTTGAGTATGTTCCTCTAATTCAACAACATATGGAGTTGTCTCCTGATCCTTTGGTTCAACATATGGTGGCTCAGTGGACTTTTCATATAGCTCCGGTATTAATTTATGTGTAGATACTTCCGTTATCAGTGGTGTTTCTGTGGTTGTGCTTACATGCTGAGTGTCATCTATATGAGTTGGGAGTATTTCGACTATTTCTGTAACTTGTTCTTTAGGAACTGCTGTTGTTTTTTCATATGTATCTCCTTCACGTAATGCTTCTGTGGTTTCTCTTATTGTTTCAGTTGTTACACGCTTTTCGTCGTCCTGCGAAGTACTTGTCGTAAACTTCTCTGACAATGAACTATCTGATAGTGATGGTTCTGTGACTTCGGTCTGAATTAATATTGGTTCAGTAGCTATTTCATCTTTAAGTGGTGATGAAGTCTTTGTTGTAGTATCTTCAGAGCCAGAAGTTTGTTCAACTGTTGTTTGAGTAAATTCTTTTTCTGGTAACTCATTGGCAATGCCAGGAGTTGTAATTTCAAGAGAAGTAGACGGAGATGATTTTGTTAAATCTTCCGTTATTATTTCTTGTGGTGCATATGTAGACGTTTTTAATTCAGGTAAATCAGTCTTAAAGTCCACGGGAGTTGTTTTTTCAGTTGAAACATGTTGATCATCAAGTATTGGAGAAATTGTTTGATCTTCAAAGTCTGAACTTTCTTTTGTCGGTGGTGTGGTTGATGGCAGTTCAGTCTTTTGTTCTTCAGGCAATGCGGATTTCGTTACATCTTCAATATCGGAACTTTGTTTTGGTGTTGTCGGTGTAATCAGCGATTCGGGTAATTTAGATTGATGGTCTAAGGTTGATACGTATTCAGTGGCAGTCTGCTCTGTTTCAGTTAAAGATGGTTTCGTTACTTCTTCCGTGATCTGAGTTTCTTTTAGAGGTGGTAAAGTTGTACTATGATCTTCAGGTAGTCTCGTATATGGTATGTGTTCAGTGACACTATTTTGTTCATCTGATAATGTTGATTTCGTGCTTTCGTCCTTACTGGAGATTTCTTTTATTCCTGTTGTTGTTATTGCGTCAGGTAATTCAGTTACTATGTTCATTGTATCTGGATGCTCTGAATCTATTTCTGGCTCCTTCATTAAGGTAGATTGAGTCTTATCCTCAGTGTCAGAAAGTTCTTGGTTTGGAAGAAGCGTTGAGATCTCCGGTAATTCAGTCACAACAACTGAAGGGACTGAATGATCTTCTTCATCTGGTAATGATGATTTTATTTCTTCTTCGTCTGGTATTTGAGTTGTTGCTTGTGATTCAGATAGGCCTGTCTGAATGTCTGTTAGCGTTGTATGTTCTATAGGAACATTTTCATCAGACAAAGAAGCCTTTGTTATATCTTCAAACTCATCAGCTTGCTGTGGCGTCAGTGTCGTTTTTTGTGATTCAGGTAATCTAGTGAAACTAGTCGAGGTAGTAACAAACTCAGTCGTACCATTTTCTTCCCCTGGTAAAGAAGATTTTGTTACTTCTTCCGAAACGGGGATTTCTTTTGGCGGAGTCAAAGTGGTGCCGAGAAGTTCAGGCGATTTAATGTCACTATCTGTGTGGTCCATAGAAACATTCTGTTCGTCAAGTAATGTAGATTTTGTAACATCATCATGTCCTGAGCCTTCTTCTTGAGGTAACAAATTATTTGCTTGTGATTCATCTGATTCTGTTTGATCATGAGTTAAATCAGGATTTTCAGTAGAATGTTTTTGTTTATCTGCCAATGTCGATTCTGTAAAATCTTCAAGGCCTGATTCCTTTTGAGGAGAGGAAGTTGTAGTTGGTAAGTCGTTGTTTACATTTTGTCCTTCAGCTGGCAAAGTACTAGTGTCTAATTCATTAACAGTTGTTTCGACTTTGTTATACATTTCTGGTTGTTTGTTATCGTCTTCTCCTTGACCTTCAACATGTTTTTGGTCTCCTGGTGAGGTAGTTGGATATTTTTCTGAACTAGTGTCCAAAGATTCGTTGATTTCAGGAATACCAGTTACGTCTTCGTGTTTTTCTGTTGCATGTTTTTCAGCCGGTTCTGTTGTTATTTCATCCTGAGTGATCTCGGTTGCTTTTTGCGATACCGTTACAAGTGACATAGGTGTTACGGAGGACGGATATTCAGTATATTTATCGTGTTCCTTTTCATTATTAATTTCATCTGAAATCTCCGATGGTTGGGTTGGTTTATCTGTAAATTCGTATTGACTTGTACTTAGTTCTGGCGTTTGCGTTGATTTATCCGTTTGTGGTTCAAATTCTTTTTCGTCATCTTTCGTTTTAGTAGTTTCTGTTTCTGGTGTTTGTGTTGAAGATAAGGTCGTGGTGGTAGGTAAATGATCAAATTGAATGGAATTTTCTGGTTCTTTTTCAGCAGAAGACGGATGTTCTTTTATAATCTCTTCTTGAATTGTAGGTTTTTCTTGCTCGATTGGGTGTTTTTCTAAGCTTTGAGCTTGAGTTGTTTCCTCTGTTATATCCACGGGTGTTATAGTAAACTCTTCAATAGCTTCAGTGGAACCTTTTGTAGTACCTGTGATCTCATCTGAATCTTTATCAGAAGATTCAGAGCTTGTGGTTGGTATTGTATCTGTGACTTCAGACACATTAGATAAGTCATCACTTTCACTGACAGCTGTTATTATAGAACTGGTTTCAGTAGTCTGGGTTTCTATTTTGTGATCAAATGGTGTTAATTCCTCCTCTTTTTCGGATACTGTTGTTAATTTACTAACTTTTTCAGTAGTTTCAATGAGAATTTCAGTTGAAATTTCATAATCTGGCCGAATAGTAGTTTTGGATGTCTCAGTTGTCTTTAATTCATCAAATTCTGTAGAATGAGACAGTGGACTTGGTGTTGTTATTTTAACTTGCTCTTCATATTCTGGCCGACTAGTTTCTTTAGTAGAATATATGGGGGCGATCGTTTTAGTAGTTTTTGGTGGCTGAGTTGTTTCTAATGCATCAAACACTGTAGAGTAAGTCTGTGAACTTGGTGATGTGATTTCTACTTGCTCTTCAGTTGACTTCATATCATCTTGTATGCTAGTTATGTCGGGAATTTCATCTTTAGCAAGTTCGGTAGTAATGTCCTTTGTATCAGCTGCAGTTGTTTCATATGTCTCGGGTATGTTAGTAGTTTCTTTTACTTCTTGTCCATAGTCAGCCGTGTAAACTGGAATATCAACAGGAATTTCACCAGGTGTAGATGAATGTATGTATGATGATGTAGTGGAAGAGTCTTCATATTTAGTGCTATCTACTGATTCTTTGTTTTCTTCAATATCATTTGTTATTCCCATAGAGGGTAGTTCGGTAGTAACGATTGGTGATTTTTCAGCTTCTGTTACTGTTTTGTGTTCATCAGATACCGAAGTAGTACTTAAAATAGCACTATCAGTTGTTTGGTCTAAATCAGAAATGTCCGAGGTTTCTGCATTTTCTGGTAATTTAGAGTATGATGTTACAAATTCAGTGGTAGGCACATCTGTGGTTTTTCCATGTACTTCATGTTCACTAGGTAAATTTGCATTCAATTCTGTACTCGTGAGTACTGGTGAGCTTGTCGATTTTTCGAATTCTGTTTTAACTGGGGCCTTTACGTCTTCGTCTGATTCTGTAGTGTCAGTTGCAGGTATTTCAGCCTCAAATGTTTTTTGTGTTGTTTCTGGGTATTCTGTCAACTTTGTCGATACTGGAATAGCTGTTGTTATTTCTTGATCCTGTACAACTGTTTCACTAGTGGACTCACCAGTTTTAGATTCCTCAATTAGAACAGGTACATTGGAAACTTCAGCTGTGTCAGTAACGTATTCTAGTTTTATAGTTGTTACAGGTTGTTCTGTTGTATCGGTTTTTGATGGAACAATTTCATCATTTGGAGATTTCGTTTGGACATCGGTGTATTCGCTATCCTCAGAAACTGAAATCGTGGATGAAGATTTAAGCCCTTCTGTAGTGGTTTCATCTGTAATTTTTACTGAAGTTCCTTGTGGAGACATTTCTTCTCCTATTTTTTCTTCAGAATCAGTTGATACCGAAGATTCTGTTGAATCTGGTAGCTCTTGTGTTAAAGTAATTCCTGTTCCAATTCCACTTACGACTGGTGCCTCAGTAGCAGGTCCAGGTGTTGCAGCTGTCTTTTCGGATGTTTCATGGTCTACAATAATCTCTGGTGTAGTTTCGTAAGGAGTGTGCTCTGAAGATTTTGGAACGTCCTTGACATCGCTGCAAGTCGATCCTTCACATAGAGGGGGAATATTTTCATCGATATTAGTATCTTTTCTTCTACAGGATTCATCCAAGCATTCAATAGGAATATCTAGCTCTTTACAATTTTCACCTTGACACTTTTCTGTTTTTTGTTTCTCTGGGATTGCAATATTTTCACCACAATCGCTTGTAGAACAATCTTTTTTATTATTAGTGTCTTCAGGAACCTTATTGTCTTTACAGATTTCACCATTTTCACAAAGAGCTTCTTCATTTATTTTTGATGGAGCGTCACAATGACTACCTTCACAGGGAATTTCGGGAGGAACTTGGATAGTTGGTAATTGACACGCACCGTTTGCGCACGCTTCTTCCGCAGTTTTGCAAGGCTTGCCTGAACACAGTACTGAATGATCCGCTGATGGAATATTTATTGGCTCATCAACCAAGGCAGAGCAACCATTGGGTCCACATTTATTTTGCTCTGTAGAGGTCGTGTCACCGCATTCACTACCACTACAAATCATTTCTGGAATATCTGAATGATGCTTTTCTTCTTTTACTTCACATTGGTCACCGTGGCATTCAAAGGACGGTTGTGCTTCTGTAGAAGTTACATGAACGAGAGGTACAACAGGGGGCATAGTTTCTCTAGATTGATCGCACACGTATGTTGGACAGCAAGAATCTGGCGAATCATAAGTGGGTTGACAATTATCCATATATTCTGGAGGTGAACTACAGATTATTGGATCACATTTGATTATGCTGCTCAAGCACTTGCAATTTGAATGGCACTTGTTTGTTTTTGGTACAGAGCTTCCATTCTTATAAGTTATACTATTTAATAGGCAATCACCTTCTCCGGGTATACGTCCGACGAATATGTTATTATTTTCATCTATTTCATTTTCAATTTGATTAATTGTGGTTGTTTCTACCTTGTCTGAATATATAGTACTTTCAGTCGTAGAAGCTGGCAAATGTCCTAGATCATCGATGCTGGCTTCTGTGGAAGTAGGTGCTTTTTGCAACTCAGATGATGTAGTAGAAATGTCTTTGTTTTTGTCATCAGAATCAATTTCTGTGTTTCCAATTGTGGGTCTCAACGTAGAAACATCAATATCTATATCGTTAATAGTAGATGGCGTAATAGACAAATCAACATGTTCGGTAACTTTAGACGCTACATCAGGAATAATATTTTCAGTAGTAGGCGCGTAATGATTTTCCTCAGTCACTCTTGCAATCTCTGTTGACGAATCGGGCATTTGAGTTGCAGTGGATTCAACAATGCCTTCAGTTGATTGATCTCGTTCTGATTCTTTAAAAGGCGTAACTACCTCGTAAGTAGGTGTCTCAGATTTTTCTTCTTCAAAAGTGCCGCTGGGTATGGTATTTAGTCCCTTGTCAGGCTCAGTCGTTGATTCAATGTCTTTAGAAGTTACCACAGTAGTGCCTTGCGTATTTAATTGTGGTTTTGTAATGTCTTTTTCAGTTAATTGATCATTTATTATGTGATCATCCGGAACAGCTGTACTAGATTTTTCTATTTCTTCTAAGAATGGAGCGCTTGGCGTACTTCCTATACCATCAAGAGGGACTGAAGAACTTTGCTGTTTATCCGCAGAAGTGGTATCAATATCGTCCTTGAAACTTGATTCTGTTGTGATTGACATTTCTTCGTCTTCGAATTTCAAATCATCGTCTGTTTTTTTACTAGTTTCTGGTAATATGTCAGGCACCGTAGTGAATTTACTTAAATCATCAATCAGAGGTGTTTTTTCAGTTTTATGTTTCTCAGCTTCATTTTCTTGGGAAACAATACCAGTTTCTTGATCACTTTGCGAAGTAGTTCCTAAGTCAGACGAAATAGTTGTATGATGCATGATACTTGATGTCGCCGATTCTGTAGTTAACTCGGCATTGGTAATCTCTTTGTCTTCTTGGGTGGGTATCAAAGTTGATGTAATATGACCCGGTTCTGGTTTTTTATAATCGGGTATTTCTGAAATATCGTCACCAGTAATGTGTTTATGTGATTCTGTTGTTATATCAAATTTCTCATTCAATGTTACAGTGCCGATGCTTGGCGCAATAGTAGAATATTCTGATTCGGACGTTTCTCTTGTTAATGTTGTCGTTTCAGTTTTAATTTCTTCTTGATCTTCAGTAGGAATACGTTGATCCAACCCAACAATTTCTTTTTCAGATGCTTCTGTCGTCGAATATGATTCGTCTGCTATAGATGTGGTCTCTTTATCACCCGAAATAGGTAGTACTCCAAGATCTTGAAGAGGTGCCTTTTCTGTAGATTCAACGAAATTATTGTCTTTTTCATCTTTTATTTGTGTACCTTCCTCTGGCAGCACACTTGGTGTTGAAGTTTGAGTGGTTTCTTTTTTATCTAGACCATCAGTAATCAAATGTTCTTCCTGGCTTAGCGTGCTTAATTTTTCAATATCCTCCAAGAATGGTGTGCTAGACGTGTGTGCATTCGAAACAGATGCTTCTTGTTCTGACACACCCGTATAAACATCCTTTTCTCTGTACGATTCGGTTGTCATCATTTCAGTTTCTTCAAAGAATGGACTACTTGTGATATTTGTTGTTAGTAGATCCACCTTCTCACTTTCAGTTGTTTCTTTGAGATTGTCTTCAATATTCGTTGTTTCTTTTTCCGCCACAGTAGGCATGGTTACTAAAGAGGAAACATCTTTTTCTAAAGGAATGGTCTCTTTTTGAATTACTTTTTCAGTGCTGTATCCTTCGGTCGGCTTAATTTTAACATCTGTATCTGTAGATGTTAATGTCGTCGCCACACTTGGATCTGTTTCATAAGATTCAGTGATTACGTTTATGGCATCGATGGGTTCAACATTTCCAATTGTGGTTTCTTCTAAAATGTTGGAATCGGTGACGCTATTGTATTCTTTTTGTACAGGCGTTGTTTGTTTAATTTCAACATTTTCTGTGACGGGTGATTTAGTTTTATCGATGATTTCAGTGGACGTACTCATTTGGTATTCTTCTTGAGATTGTTCTGTTGTTAAATGAGTGTCACCACTACCTTCAGTTACAAATTCTAACGGAGAAGGTTCAGTGTATGGGAAATTATCAGTTTCTTTTCTATATCCACTGCCCTCGGCACTAACTCTTCTAGATGGTAATGTTGTAAAATCTTCTGATATTGGTTCAGTTGTAAAATCATTAACTTCGGTGCTTAATTCATCGCCTTCGCAAATATACGTATCTGGGCAGCATTGACCTTCACGTGGGGCTAATGAAGTACAGTTTTTACCTTCGTTCTCCATTGGCGTACCACATTCTTGAACTACACAGACAATATCTCCTTTCATACAATAACAATGTTCACAAGCTTTTTCTGTTTTGATTAAAGCTCCGTCCACAAATATCTTGTCGTCGTGGACACAGCTTTGTGACGCCTGAGTAACAGGTGCGATCGTTGTCGTGGTTAACAGGAAACCGGGTGTTGGTCTGACCGTTGTAGACATGTCGTCTAAGAGAGGTATTTCGTCTTCTGGGTGATCTGAAATCAAATTAAATCATTAAATAAACCTAAGAAATTCCTTCGATGGGTGATAGGTAGGTAANTCCACAAATATCTTGTCGTCGTGGACACAGCTTTGTGACGCCTGAGTAACAGGTGCGATCGTTGTCGTGGTTAACAGGAAACCGGGTGTTGGTCTGACCGTTGTAGACATGTCGTCTAAGAGAGGTATTTCGTCTTCTGGGTGATCTGAAATCAAATTAAATCATTAAATAAACCTAAGAAATTCCTTCGATGGGTGATTGATAGGTAAATAAGTATGTATTGTGTGGTGTTGATTTGATTTTGAGTCCATTATTATTGATTGATGTTTAGCTATTTAAAGTTATCTTGAATAAATTTGAAATGTTGATAAATTTTGATAATAAAAGAATATATGAACTAGTTAGTCATTTAAATGAGCGACAAAATATCTCATTATCAAAAGACTCTGAATATTATTTATTCCCAATATTATTGTTGTCCGTAGGTGCTGTTGAGTGATCTTTATGAAATGGATGCTTTCTAAGATATTTAATTATTCAATTCCAGTATTACCGCACGAATATCGAACTGGACAGCAGACATCTTTATGGTAAATGGGAGTACAGCCGTCGACGTGTAAAGTACACTCTTGCATCACACAGGTCGTCATATTGCGAATACAGTAGCAATGTTCGCAGGGTTTGTTCGGGGTAGGCGGCACCTTAGAGCCCTCTGGGAAATATCTTCCATTGATACTACAGCCATATCTATCATATTTTCCAACTCCAGTTCCTCCGTACTCAGCTGGCGACGAGGTCGACGTAGAAGTGAGTAGATCAACTGGAACTTTAGAAAAAAATATTAATATAAGTAACTTTTTCCCTACCTATTCTGTGGTAGCCTAAGGGGCTATTCCAGCTACGGCCGAATGGGAATTAATATTCCATTCAAACAATAGTACGGGGTGTTGAGACACCGGCCAGAGTAGATGCATATAATTTATCGTTTTAGTGAGTTTATATTGAACAATTGCGTGAACACGCAAATTTACAACTGGCGCTTTAGTTGAGCAACTATTATCGTCTAAAATTACCAGCATCATTTTCTGTCTTCGTTTTTGTATTTTGGTAGCATTTTAAATTACGTGGTTTAGTTACATGGTTTATCTTTTCATCCACACAAGAATAGATAGCTTTAGTCTATAGCTTACCATCTGGGCATGTCACAATTGGACAGCACTGGTCCGCGCGCTTCTCGACGGTGCAGTCCTGGCCAATCGGCTTAGTAAACGGACACACACGGAGATAGCACATGAGCATCCGGTTATGACAAGTGCAATTTAAGCAGGGTTCGTTGGTCATGATGCGATCACCTTCGCCGTAATGTTGAAAGTTGTAATAACAACCTTCGGGTGCTCCTGGAATCATTGCCATCGAATTAGAATAAGTTGAGGTTGTTGCCTTAGAAATAAATATTACGAAGAAAACTATAATGGTTCATCTTTATGACTAACAGAATCTAGTAACCCGAGGATACCAAAATATTACATATACATTTAATATTACATATTTTAAAAGAATTACTAATATCGTTATTGTTATTAATAATTCCAAACTAAAATATTATCATATAACGGTGTAAATACACTCACCATCATAAAGATCAAGTGCTGTGTGATTGCTTGCTGTGGGTGCTGTAACAAAAACATTTCGTGATTATTAGTTTTATGTGCTATGCTTAGTAAAACTTTATTGGATTATGATTTAGTTATGATTATTTAATTGGTGCCTACTATGCTAAAATGGACCATGCTTTTCTATACTAATATTATAAAGAGGAAAGATTTGTTTGTTTGTTTGTTTCGAATAGGCTCCGAAACTACTAGACCGATTTGAAAAATTCTTTTTCCATTAGAAGCCGACATTGTCCCTGATGAACATAGGCTACTTTTTTTTTTTTTTTTTGTTTCATGTGTGTTTTAATGTTTCCGAAGCGAAGCGAGAGCGGGTCGCTAGTTCCTAATAAAAACATTTTATAGGGTGGGCCCGTGTAAATAGGATTAGTATACATCATTCGCAGTACATTATCTAATTTCATTTTTTTTGTACTTTTTTTTATAATTGATTGTATACAAAGAATTAAACACCAAAGATAGAGCGATAGAAAATTCTAACGGAAAAGATTATAGGGCATTATAACAAACAAAAAAATATATAACATAAATCTATTATAGTGGAATGTAATCGAATACATACATAGTATTTGATTTGATGTAACATAAATTGTAAAGTCTTGGATAACGTATTCAAGTTCAAGTTCGAGTCAACCAAAGCATGATTACGCAGTATAGAACTACGTAATATCAATTAAAAGTACTTTTTTCTATTGTCAAATTGGTCTTTATGATGTAACGAGTACTTAATAATAATAATAATATAATAAATATTTACTAACAATCACGCCACGTCAACTGGTCCCGTGATAAGTTCGTAAAGAACTTGTGTTACAGGTACCAGATAACGGAAATAAATATAAGATTTTTATTATACACATACATATATTGAATATACATCCATAACCCTGGAAAAGACATTTATATTTATCATACAAATATCTTCCCTTGGCGGGATTCGAACCCGCGACCCCCTTGTGTAGTGACCATGTCACTTACCACTACACCAGATGGCCGTTAACTTACTTAGCCGTACTTAAAATCATTGAATTTTGATTGCGCGAAAAAATAATTTTAGGAACGTCGATACAAGGTCTTTATTGAATTATTGATTACGTACCAACATTATCAAATGAATTTCATTATTGTGGTATGTATATACATAAATAATATGGATTTATTATTGATTGATTCATGGCCCTCTTTAGGTGTATGACCATTAATCAATTGCATTTTATTTAAATGAAGGTTTAAATTCAGACTATTTACGACTTTCTTATCGCATGACTTCATGCAGCAAGTACAGTTGACGCGTGCAAAATATGTTCCGCTTACACTTCAGGCTTAATATACTTCAATTACTTTCAATGCCAAATCACGATACACATACATACACACACAATACAAATAATAACGGCCATCTGGTGTAGTGGTAAGTGACATGGTCACTACACAAGGGGGTCGCGGGTTCGAATCCCGCCAAGGGAAGATATTTGTATGATAAATATAAATGTCTTTTCCAGGGTTATGGATGTATATTAAATATATGTATGTGTATAATAAAAATCTTACATTTATCTCCGTTATCTGGTACCTGTAACACAAGTTCTTTACGAACTTATCACGGGACCAGATAACGTGGCGTGATTGTTATAAAAAAAAAAAAAAAATGTAGAAATGAACTGTAGTAGAAATACGTTGAAGATAAATTTGGATTTCAATACGGCTCGTAGCCTAGAGGATAAGACGTCCGGTGTATTCGTGTTGAGCGATGCACCGGTGTTCGAATCCCAGGCGGGTACCAATTTTTCTAATGAAATACGTACTCAACAAATGTTCACGATTGACTTTCACGGTGAAGGAATAACATCGTGTTATAAAAATCAAACCCGCAAAATTATAATTTGCGTAATTACTGGTGGTAGGACCTCTTGTGAGTCTGCGCGGGTAGGTACCATCGCCCTGCCTATTTCTGCCGTGAAGCAGTAATGCGTGTCGACTTGAAGGGTGGGGCAGCCGTTGTAACTATACTTGAGACCTTAGAACTTATATCTCAAGCTGGGTGCATTTACGTTGTCGATTTCAATGGGCTCCAGTAACCACTTAACACCAGGTGGGCTGTGAGATCATCCACCCATGTAAGCAACAAAAAAAAAAGATAGTGAAAAAATTTAAAGCTCTCATGCGATGCAAACACTATTTGCACTTATTCGTTGTTAAAAAACACATCGATCTATCCCAACTTAAAAGCTTGGAGTTCTGAGAACATTTAACTGCAGCTTTTATGGTTTGCCTTATTAAGCACGACACAGCTGCGCAGGATATTAGCCACAAAACGTCCGAGAGCCGCGATCGGTCATCGTCTCGATACTTAAAGTCATTTTGTATATCCGTTTTACTACGTATAATTACTGAAGTCAAGCGGCGAGGCGACAAAGCTGTAATTAAACTAACGGAGTGCGCGTCGTTAACATCGGAACTGCGGCTTTACACACGATTTGATGCTTAATGTAAAAGTCCTATGTAAATGACGTTCGCAATACGCAGCGTTTGGTAGATTCATCTCGATACCGTATGCTCGTTACGAAGGCTTAAATTATCAAGTTGATTAATCAAAGGATAGCTAATTTGATGTTTGCTACGGAATGGATATTAAAAAGAGCTTTGAATCGGAGCTTTGAATTAAGTTTAACCTCAAAAGCATGAACAGTTAAGTGTTTTTTTTTTTCGTTTTTAATTCAAAACTGATTGCACATAGTAAAGCTGTGCGTCTGTGTCAGTTTAAGCTTATCACAGAATGGCGGCACCGTTAGGGCGCAAGTCTTCGAGCCGCTATATATGGTGAGAGCACGGTGGCGCCGCTCGGCACATCGTCCACCTAACGGTCACCAGGAATGTTGTTAGCATCCAGTTTTTGTCATACTTGATTACCATTATAGTATTATTAAAGTTTAAAATTGAATAAAAAAATAACGCACCATTAACTATTTGATTATCATAAAATAAAAGCTATTAAAAGCTAACACTTTTTAATTGTTCGTCAGACAATATTAGATTTGAAAAAAAAAAAACAAAAGTCGAATAGGCTACTCCCACCTGAATAAGAGTTGACGTCAGTAGAACGATGCTGTCGAAATTCCTAAATGCTCACGTGAATAATAAATGCCGACCGATACCTCTGTTCACAGTACGTGACGTAGCATTAGTAATTCCCTTGATACCTAATGAATCGCTTTTACGTATAAGTGTGACGTTATAAATGGATTTGCACGAACAAAAAACTACTTAATGCAAAATCGTGCGCTTAGGAACATGGAGCAAAGCAATCGAAACGAGGAGCCAGCATGAATTTAAAATCTGCACTACATTAATATGGATTGTTGTTTCAATGAATGAATGTCGCCGTGTTCGCCATGCTCGATGAAGTTCACACGGGTAGACCTAAACATTGTAGGCCTCATTTAAATATACTTCCTATGTATAACATAAATTCTATACGAATTCGTTGAAGTAACCGTGCACCGTGTACTTATTCTGGACAGACGAAAATAACTTTATCTAATATTATGCAGCGCCAAACAGATACGCAGAGCAGACCTTTCTACTGTTATTCGCGATGAGTATGCACGTGGAACAACTCAGTGCATCCGCTGCAAGCTCCCCACTATATGAGGGAGACATTTGATTTCGAACACAAATACCATATCAGACTTCGTGTTTGCACACTTTAGTTTCACACAGATCTTCGTTAACATCATAGTCTAAATTTTATAGACCAACTCCAATGAAGCGTGTGAAAATTTTCAATCAATTCATGACGATTGATGCGTTTTAACATGCGTTTTACATTGATAAAATAGTTTTGATTTATAGCATTGCCTAATATAAAACATATTCTATAATAAAACGGTGCATCGAATTTGTTTATAGTTTTATTGCCAAGAGATCAATGCCCGATCAATATGAAATTTATTGTATTATTCAAAACGTATATGTTATAAATGTCTTATCTGAAGTATAATGAATAGGTTAAAGAATCATTTAGTATTTTGACCTTGTTACTAAACAATGTGGAATTTATATAAATTTGGCTATTAAAGATAGAAGGAAAAACTAGTTTGCATTCCGATGGAGTGAATTGCAAAAAAATATGTAACAAATAAATATAAAAACAATTTAATGGATATTTAAAAATTAGTTATATAAATATTTAACATTATAGATGGCAATTACGACTTTTTTCATCTAAGCTTCTCGTTAGTAGTTTGTAGTTTAACTATGCATAAATTTGTACACACTATTTCAAATTATTAACCGAATTACATTATAATATACAGTGTTCAAATTACCATTTTGATACACTCAGTATTCAATTATTGTTATTTCTGATTGTTTCAACTTTCACTTTGGTGCTATCGAAGATATTTTCATTTGCGGCCCACTTGAACGTCAGTGGTCATCGTCACAAGTGGACATCGACTATACCGGGTACGCATACAAATAGATACCATAGGCTTCTGCATGGGCATTATCTCAGAGTCAATTTAGGTAGGAACATGAAATTTTTATAGTAATGTTTAGTATAAATAGGTCAAAATGTCGGAGCCCACAGCCACCAGAAAGTGAAGGCCGTCGCTCACCTAGATATATTTGATTGAAAGTATGATTACTTACATTTTTATGATTACTTTCCTACCCTTAAAACCTCACGCCTGATTGACTGATGACTGATTGATATGACTAGTTCGATCCGTGTTGACTCTTAACAGTTCTCTATCGGTTTTCTTTTATTCCTACCTAAGCCTTGAGACGCTATTTCAGCGTAACCTTAACTAAAAGGTGAGCTCACGGGGCTCAAACCTGACGACATTGCTAACACGAACCCTAGCAAAAGTCATGCTTCGCAGAATCTACCACCGGATCGGAAACGCGATCCACTGAGAAGATCCGGCGAGAAACTCAGTGGGCTGTGTCTATGGGTAAATTTACTCGTCGAGCCCTTCGTCGCAAGCGCCGGGTTCGACGAGACCGATGACCGGTATCGGATATAGTAAATGGCTTTGAAGGTATACTCACCGGCTGCCGAACGCGCGATGCACGCGGCCAGCGCGAGCAGCGCTCCCGCCGCGCGCCTCCTCCGATCCATCTGACCCCTTCCGTCTGCAACAATCACACAATCGAATCAATTACCCTCGCTCGATCGTCGCACTGACTCATCACTCTGCTACGGACTTCCACTCTATCAATAAAGCCGCAGGGGTCTTATTCGTCATTCAATTATATCGTGTGCCAAAACTTAAGCAGTATTTCCGTGAAAGCCCATTGAATAGTTTTATTAATAACAACAGTTAATAAGCAAAAGTACAAGGCGTCCTAGTGAAACGTATCGCCAAATAAAGAAAACAGAATAAAAACTCGAATTGACATTAAATTCAACCTTGTAATTTTTTTTTTACATATAGAAACTTATCCTATTCCATTTAAATAAATCAGAACTTTCAAAGATGAGGTTCGAAGATAACATAATTAAGTTAAGAGCTAGATTTTAAGTTATACATTTGCTGTTCCGTTTTTAAATAAATTAAAATTAGTTAATCTTGTTTTGCCTTTTAACGAGATACTAATATTTCATTAGTGCCACTCTAGCGATGTATATATAGCAGGTTCTATAAAATAGAAAAATCAGCGAAAGGCAATTTAAAACTATAGAAGAATGGTTCCTTAAAGACATCTTTCATCACGGCCCAAATTACGATTTATTAATTTAACAGAAATAAGATTCTATTTTTAAAAATATGATGTATATTGTACAGTTGGCTATATCAGAGCCAGTGGGGTTAAAAGGACTACTCTACATTCGTGCTACGAACACAAGAGTCTGTGAGCCGTGCTTGAGTGGGAATGGCGAGAGACATGTCAATGTCTGGAAGAATGCCTTTACAACTCGCATCGTTGCGAGCACCACGCGTTATGTTACTACTTTAAAAAATATTCTCAGCACAACTAATCTCGTCCAACAAAAAAAGATGTGTGGTGTCGTGGGACACCGGATAGGAACGAAGTTTCTTATTATAAAAATATTAATTTTAAGTTCTATTCGAGGTGTAAAGAATATAATTATTCGGGTATACATTTATTATTACTATTTTTTTTATTGATAAAAACAACTTTGTAAAGTAGTTTTTTATTTATCAACTTAATTTTATTCACAATGATTTATAAAAAATATATAATAATAATATACAAAGAAACAGCTATTTATATGATTAATAATAATAACCGTTATCACGTAGACTATACATTAGACACTGTATAGCCATCATACTAAGACTACATAAATAATAAAAATCTTACGTTACGGACGTTTTTTCTCGGTTAGGGTACCCCTCCGCATCGTCCCATAAGGAACTTCGTTCCAAAAAAAAGTACTTAAGTATACTCTTCATTGTAAAGCGTTATCGATGTTTAAACTGAATCATTTCCTGTCATAGAACTTGTCATGAATAGTCATTGGTTGCGAGAGGGGTAGTTATCAGAGAAACAGGCTCCGGCAGCACGTAGCAATGGCGTAGGAACGCGGAAACGTGAGGTTCGCGCAAAAATTTACCCATTAACCTTTGAGTGAATAGGTAGTTTAACTGTCCATTCAGTGGCTGGCACGCCAAACATTCAAAACAATGTTAGGGCTTTCAATGAAGTAGTACTTCAAGAAACCGTTGCTAGTATTATTCATGACCGCAAGCAAGAGCGACAAATTGTTTACTTTGTCCCTTCTGCTTATTACATTTAATCGTAAAGAGCATATTTTTATATTGCGAATCTAAAAAAAAAAAGATTTCGAAAACTCTGACAGCGCTCTCTCACAGTAAATAAAAAACCTTAATTGATTTTCAGTTAATTAAAATACCATCAACTACATACTTACTACATTAAATTTATAGTTCAAATAAATAGGCTACTTTTATGTATGTAAGTTCGATCATAACGGTGCACTATCCACAGTTAAAATCTTAATGGCCACCATTCAATTACATTTCTCCATCGTAATAAAATTACTATCAGCTAGAATTGTTATCATTAAAATATATTTCGAGCAAAGTAAGCGGGCATGTGACATGTAAATTACATGACCATTACTAAATGGTTTTATTATACATTAGTATGATAAAAATTAATAAGTATAATTAGTCCGGGTTCTACGATGTAGCTGGAAAAGTCACCGTGGGAATTTGCTTATGTCCAATACTTGTTCTGCATAAAGCAGAGCTGATGTGTGCAGTTTATACCAGAGCCAGATGTATTTCACTTTTACCTCAGCTATGAGCACGTTTCAACGTAATTGACTCGTCTTACATCTTATCAGTAACAAACCATTCAATATAATAATTAAATACTCGATGTAGTAAGAGAGAATACAATTCAAACTATTCCATTTTCATACGCGATACCTATTTCTTTCGCGGAGAAATAATGTGTTTCGATTTGAAGCGTGGGACAGTTTTTATACAATTGAGACTTAAACCTCAAGTTGGGCTCAAGATGGACCGGTAGTTCATTCACCCCTAAATGCAATAAAAAATATATATTTCAAAATATCCCTGATAATATTTTCTTTGGTTTTCTCAAGTCGCGAACATAATAAAGATCCCTGACGAAGTGTAGGTTTTCGTCAATAATAAAAGACTGAATTATATTGACGCATGTGCGTTTATTATATTGAGAGAGATCCCTCCGTCTAGACGATTTCTGCGAGTCACCTTCGTGAGGAGGGTGAGGGCGCAGAGTATTCGCCACTATTTGTTTATTTACCTCACTAAATTGCCACGCATTTCTAACGTTATCTACCTAAGATTAACTATATACTTTATTGGTTGTATTTATTGGTCAATAAATTTAATTGATTGAATACTTTTGCTGTCTAAACTGTAGTTGTAACTAATAAAAACGAAAACGATAACAAAGACCTACATACGTATCATAATAAAATGATTTCCTTGAGGGGAGCTGAGATATTTTTGATGATCACAATGGCAGCCCAGTTCTCAAGCTTAATTTAACATACCGTTTGTTCCAACGGAACGATGTCTAAAGTAACAGTATTACTGTTGAATAAACCTGAATTCGAAGTAAATTTGAATTTACATACGATAAAGATATTAATTTGATTCTCGTCTCTCGAAACGTCTCTGGCCTAATACGTCTTGGTGGATATGTGGCACGGTGTAACCGTATATCAAATTGACCCTAGGTCATCTAAAAAATTGTATATAATATTATAATATTTTGATGAAAAACTAAAATATATAGACTAAAATAAAATATACATATGTATAGCTTTTTCCATAATTCTTGTATACTTTAGGTCAATTACTGAAAGAATTTATCTTGGAAATATTACATACTTATTTTATCTATGATTTTTTTGTTATATATTTATGTGATTATTTTTATGTATTACATACTATTTTTTGCGTGCTTTTAGCATAGCAGTCACGTTCGACTTCCGAATAAACGGCGCAATAAAACAAATCTTCAAAATTTGCGTATCCACATCGGTAAAGATATAGTCAATATATTAAAAGGGCTTATTGCTTTGTACATATATTATCGAATCGATGCAGGTGAGTGGCCGCCCCGACGTAGCGGCATGTCCGCGACTGAGATGTTGCCCAACACTTTGGAACATTGCAACCGCAACGAACATTGACACCGATTTCTTGAACATCGGGTGTCTAATGTGTTATTATCGTACATTTAAATCATTATAAGCTATAACCGCAAACAAAAGCGAGCTTTCTGAATACAATAGAGTAAATAGGACGATTTGTTTCCTAATTAATACTCGCGTAGCTTCGTAGAAGTGCTACAGTTGAGCTATATACTACAAAACGTAACGGAGTAGTATTCAATATGATCAGACTAGTTTGACTAATATAATTACAGTCCAGTAATAGTCGAGGGGGACCGACGAAACGCTCCGTTCCTGTGTCCGCAAAACTAACGTACGTATTCCCGTTTTAGAATCTTAATTATACCGAAATAAAATAATCGATATCCAACCTCTGACGAGAACTTCTAAAATTTCTTTGATGTTTAATCTGGTTATAATGGTCAAACAGTGCGCACGCTATTTGCACAATGCGCTCACGTACGCGTGTCGCGATTATCGGCAGTCGTAAATTACGAGTGATTAGCATATACAGCGTGGAAATGGCGACGAGGACTCACTATTAGATTCGGTTACAAGACAACAGTACATCGTTATTAGGCGATAATTGTCAGCGAAGTGTAGCGGTCGATTAACGGCAGACGCGGGCAGGGATATACATACTAAACAGGCGTCGCAGGCACACCTCGCATACCAGCTCATAGTCTACACGGACGCCTTCATACGATCACTAAACATACTGATATTAATGCAGCTCAATTACAAAGCCACATCATTGATTTGAGAGAACGTCCTGTTATTAAAAAATCAATCAATTAAATTTGAATTTCAGTGATTATCGTACTTATTAGAAAATAGCATGAGTGGTGAGATATAGATACAATAATAACATAAGTAGTAAGAATGAATTTATTTGATATGCTTGAATAATATGGTGTATATACAGAAGTACGGGAACACTCGTGCGGAAGTAACTTGGAGTGGCAGGGTTGTGTGTCCCTTGAGAGAATGGGAAGGAGGAGGCTGGCAAATATTAGTTTCCTTTAAGAGAAATTCAGTTCATTGACCTGACTAAAATCTGTGCTGAAATATTTTACAATCTATCTAAGAGTCATCTAAAGGTGACCGTCACATAACAGTTTTATAATGGAAGAATTCTTGAATGTTTCACCGCTACAAATGAGAATCTTTTATCAAGCTAGCGGTGCAAAAAGTAAAATTTAAACAAACGTATTCGTTGGAAATTTCATGACCCGCTTTTTATCTTTTCTCCGGGTGAAGCTAACCATTTAGGGAATAAAATTGCTGGAAGGCGGTAAGACGCGATATCGGATCGAAGCACGCACGCATCGCTAACGTAGACCGAATAATTTAGGTAAATCTGTTCTAGACGTATTAACCGTTATAATATGTTAGCATTCTGCTCAAGTGTACTTACGAATTATCTTATTTCCATATTATTTCGTGTTTCTGATTCGATCTACAACCCAAC